TAGAATTTTTCTGACCAAAAATTCTCGCGCGTAACAGCGCAGAATGGGGGAAATTTCCTTCACCCTGTAATAACGAGAAAATTTCCAGCTATTTTTAATTCTTTATACATACCTAGAATTCGTGCACTATTACACACATGTTCCAAATTAAATCCAAAAAATAAATTCGGTATTAACCCAAATTATTACAACGTTGCACTACCGTATTCTTTTCTCATCCTCTCTAAAAAAAAGTCTAAAAATACAAAGGAGAATTTAAAAGAAATAAAATCTATCATTTCTCATCCTTACGCTATCTCCGGTATTCTCCAAATCGCAGAATTTTTTTGAAAAGGGGAAAAAAGCGATGACATTCCGAAAGGTCGCGTTTTCACGAGAAGGAAGTTGCCATCCATGCATTATTACGCCTGTAGGAGGTACCACCCGCCCGAGGCATATGCGGGCCAAGCTTGTCCCCGTCCCTCTTTCGCTCGTAGTTTCGCCGTGGTTCATGTATTTATGCATTTCCAGCCAGTCGCCGCTTCTTGACTAGACTCCACGCATATACACGTACGTTCGTGGACCAGCGCCATTGTGCGCCAGACGATTTACATGTATTGCTCCTCGATGATGTACCGTGAAAGATGGCCAAGCGAGGGGCAAGAGCGGACCAAAGCACACAAGACGCTGAATTGCTTTTAAATTAGCGATACGAACTTTCGGGAATCTCGATACCATACATTTTGTCATGGAAATGTTTTCTCTTTCTTTGGTTTCTAATGGAAAAACGAAGAGGTTCCATGATGTCTGTTTTAATACATTTTAATTGATATGCTGTATTGTCTGGAAAGATATTTGGATGGCACTTTGTATTTTCTTACCAATTAGGAGAAAAAAGTTATCAAAAGATGTTTTTACTTGTTTCAAAATATGAAAGAAAACTTGGACAGAGATGATTAAGAGTCATTAACAAGCATGAGAAGGAAGAATTATATACATTCTGTACATTTTCATACTTTTGAAAATAAATAAACACCAGCGGCATTATTATTATCTAACATTGTAATTATCATATATTATACGAACCAGTGAACTGCGTTAAAAGATTGTTCGGCACATCACCGTATTCAAATTGTAGCTAGTACAGTTGCATTAATTAAACGCACGTACCACAAAGAAGTTTATTAAACTCAGTTCGATTCTTGGAAACTATGTGAGGAATTATATTCACATCAGGAAAATTAAATCGCGCGTAGTGTGTCCACGGATATAGCTTTATAATTAATCGCGGCGTTAGCCACGCTGCAAACAATTACGGTGTGCGAGCGTTCTACGTTGCCGCAGTAATTTAATCGAACTCCGTCACAAAATATCGCGTTAATTGTTATCAGGATTTTCGGATAATTACACAAACTCCGGTTGAAATAATTTAGTATCCTATGAAATCTCTCTTTCGCATGGCAGCACTAGGATCCCTTGGTTGCTGTTCATTATTCAATCGCCATATTTACTCATTGAATTCAATTCCGATTCACTTATGGTATGATTTACTCTTCGAAGGCGTACCTGAGGATGGTGATGGGAATTTATTGGAGACGAAGGTCGTCCTGAATACGGGCAAGGAAAACGTAGACAGCGTTGGAGAGTGAGAGAAGATATGAGAGAAGAGAGCTCAACGAAAGGGACAACGAGCGTCGAAGGGAGAGAAAAATAAAGGGCGCGTCCTTTTCTCATATTCCGTATCCCATACGGTAGCTCGTGAAAGTTGCAAGAACATCTTTTCGAAATTCAGATTTACAACGATGTCTACTATTTGTTTCTTCCTTCTTGATGCTATTTTCATTATTTCTATTATTAAGAAGACAGGTTTTGCGGTTATGTACTTCTTTTTATGACTCCTGCAAGCTTTTTTAAAGCTGTTCAACGATGGACCCTGATGCTTTTTTATGAAATGTAATCGATTTCGAAACAAATCTATTCGATTTCCTTCTATTAAAGAATAAGAATATTAAAAGTATTATACAGTAAATATAACAGTCAAACAGTACTTCCGGTTATTTATAAAGCAAATTTTTATATCAACTTTCATATACTATTTCTATTTTTAGAAGTTAGTGTTCAAAGAAATAGATATCGTCAATGTTCTCGTAAAGTATGTTTTTGGTGAACAGAATCTATAAGTCATTTGTTCGAATCTGATATTAAAAAAAGAAAAATTCAAACCTTTCGAGGGGTCTTTGTGAGAATAGATGTGTATCTAGATGCGTGTTTGTGCCTTGAACGTATTGTACGCTATTTTATTGGAGGATGCTGAATTTTTATCCATCCCCTGTGCAAATAGAGGTCATGTAAAGCCATCCGGCATGGTCGTTCTTTAAAATGCATGCCGCCCTTAAATCAGGACAACAATAATTGTGTCCACTATCCGGACATGCCCGATTGAATGTGGAATATTTGTTGTTTCCTTACCCTCTGCTTTTATTCCCATTCGTATTTATCAAATCTAACTCTTGGGTTGCGAGCAAAAGATATATTTAAATAATGTAATGGATTATTTCAACATACTAAAATTTGTACAGTGAAAAAATTTTTCTTTAGTCCTTAACATTCTTTTGATGCCTCCTATCCCGTAACTGATATATACAAGATGGTTGGTAACTGGTTGGTAGTACAAGCGGAAAGGGGGTGATTCTACGCGAAAAAAGAAGTCGAAAATATAGAATAAAAATTTTTCGCTTGAGACTTTGTTTTCGAGAAAATCGACTTTGAATTTTCGCTCGGTACGCGTGCGGTACGTTATAACGGATCTCACTGTAGATTGTTGTCTCGATGGAAAAATTTAAAAAAATAAAAAAAATAAAAAAGAAATTTTATTCTATATTTTCGACTTCTTTTTTCGCGTAGAATCACCCCCTTTCCGCTTGTACTACCAACCAGTTACCAACCATCTTGTATATATCAGTTACGGTATATGTATTATACTTAAGTTTGAGTTACACGTAGTTGACAATAATTTAGTTTCAATTGCTTCGTTTTAATTCATCTTCTATATGTCACTTGATAAATAATATTTTACTTTTAGTTACTTTAGTTATTTTTTCTACATGAAATACACAATATACATTTAAATGAACTAGCCTAAAATTGATTAACTTAATCCAAATTGTAGATTATCTATGATAACGATCAATGATGATTCGACCAATTGTGGGACCAACTAAATGTTATTTAATCATGGCCAATTGCAAGGAAAGAAATAACAAATATTAAAATGAACGATAATGTTGTCGTGATGTATGTCAATTTACGCGTGGAGCAAATTCTTACCCATCAACAGAGGGATTTTGGAACGTCACAGACTGAAACGGCGGAAGGTGGAAAGGGAGCTAAAGGGAGGATACACCCCCCGCGAACTCGAACATGAATTAAAGTTTTAATTTCTCTAAATCACTGTTCGCCCTCGAGCGCTTTCCACCAGACGGTCCGTTACTTATGGCCTTTGCCCTTTTTACCGCCTTCTTTTTTTCCCGTTCGCCTCGATCTTACCACCGTCCAACCCTCGCCAATCGGCAGAAATCGATATGCACTTATCCGATGACTCTCGAGACCCGAGGCCTTTTTCGTTTCTCTCCTTTTTTCCTTCTCAATCGTACCTTTGCAGCCATAACGGCCAGAAATCGTGGAGATTTAAATTTCCATGGAACAACGATGTCGTTAACATCCCTTCAGAGCCACTCGAAACTAACCCAATCTCAAATCTCGCTCCAAAATAGATCAAAAATTTTTTTTATTCATTAAAATTATTTGAAATCTCAATTTTGAGCCACTATATATAGTGAATAATTTCAATTTAATAAAATAATTACTTGTTTCTTAACGATGCAAAAATATCTCCACGCTGTAATATTTTACACGCTTGAATTCGACAACCTTCTATGGTCCATAGGAAAACGTATCAAAATCGATTTAGAAGCGAGTTGCTCTCTCGCGGCATGCTCGATCTGCCCTTTTCCCCGGCAGTGACACGCGACAGGGTGAAACGGGGGTTGTTCATTTAAAATCATGAGCGAACATCGAGCGTGGGGCGCAGTCACAGCACGGCGGAGGCGTTAGTATTAACGTTAGGTGCCGGCAGACCAGGGCCACCTACAAGAACTTCGTACACCGGTTTCACCCCCTTACCACCGGTGACATATTGTTTCCATTCTGCTCTCGGGCTAAAGCGCAATAAAAAACCAGCATAAATATCGCCGCCCTCGGCGTGCCGCGGCACCGATACCAGACCGAGCTGAGCTGTGGTCCGTGTAAGAACGAACAGGCCCCGAATACCGGTGGTCTACAATTACGTGGAAACGTTCTTTCGTGGGAGAGAGAAACGACCGGGGACTAATTTGTCTGAGTGGCTTTTTCGACGGTTAAAGGGCGCCGCGGATTGCGACCAACGATCTTTCCATCTCTTGTGAATTTGTAATGTTCTATGGCATTATTGTGCGTTTGAATGTTCGTGTGGAGAAACGGTGGCAAGATACATCGGACATTTAATTAAGGGGTGATTTGTGAACAATTTTCTGTATTACATACATAAAGGTTTCAAAAATATATTTGCAAACATATAAAAATATGTATGTTCCTGAAGAGTTTTAAATAGCTTTTTTTGTATATAAAAGATTGATTCTTGTGGTGCGTGTAGGACAGTTACAATTAGAATACATTATTTCAAAATTTAAATACTGAAAATATTATTTCACTAATATTTTTTAATTTTGTAAACTATGATTTATTCAACGACCTTTAAAGGTTGGTATAAAATATATTTGATTCTAAAGATATCTTTAAATAATCATAGAAATTATTATATCAATTATCAAGAAAGTTTGGGAACAAATTATGTGCAGGATTGAAGTTCTAAATTCTCTTGAGTCAGGAATAATTCTCCAGATGAATTATATGCCCTTTGGGGCATAAAGTGTCGCGTACTCCTTATCAGTACTCAAATAAGTTTGAAATAAAATCATACTTACAGCGTGACAGGTTCTTCAGGGCTCGAGGGTGAAATTGAGAGCGACATAGTGGTAGTTAAACATCGTGATGTACCTGGCGATCTGACTCGATCATCCACCTGAAACCAGAATATGAATGATAAGTTAAGAACCAACTTATAAACAAACGATAGTAACTTAAAATCTCGTCACATACTTAAATTTGATATTATACTACTTTTAAAATATTCTACACGGACTTAATATGAAATTTTCGTACAATAACGATTGTTATTGTAATATCGTAAAGTAGTTTGAACTAGAGGTTGGTTGAAATTAGAAAAACCGTGTACGTCGTCTTTCCGTGGTTTATTTACATTTAAGAGCGCCTATGTGACTAAAGTCACCTAGTTTTTACAGTGATGTGAGAAAAACAATAGACAACCTTAGAACAGAAGGTCGGTTTCGTTTAGTGAAGGTCGGTGTCGGTTTTCGTGAAGTATGTGTGTTGCGAGAGTCAGAGTTGATCGAGACATCAAAAAGTAGAGTTGAAAGAGTTGATCGAGACATCAGAGAGTAGAGTTGAGAGAATTGATCGAGTTGTAGAGTTGTTAGAGTTGCTAGTGAGAGAGAGAGAGAGAGAGAGAGAGAGAGAGCGTGTTAGTTTCGTTGTGACGAGAGTTGTCAAATAACTGTAAAGTTATTTGGGATAGATACGAGTATCGCATTTAGTTTCAGTTAAACAAACATCGTTTTCTGTCCAATTAACACCTGTATATTCAATTGAATATTAATAAATTGTAAGTAATCGGGAAAAAATTTATATCCTAATTCTCCGATATTACACTATTGATACAAAACATGAGTTTGGGTAGCGACACATAGTATCTGCTCCACGCGATTGTTGACTTTGAAACGGATCCATAACAAGGAATTATGTACACGATGGAATTCAAGAATACGGAAGAAATACTTCTCCGTGCACCTACCGAATTCTTTGCACGATCCTTGCTGTCGTCGATGGGGAATTGAGCAACAGGTAGATCAGATATGTCCTCGAGGTATCATGCTCGACAGAGCATACGCGTGATTTACTGTATAAGTAACTCATCGAAGGCACCCTTTTTTCTCTCTCTCTTATCTTGGATTTGCTACTCGAAACGAAACGCGAAGGAAATAATTCTTTTACTTAGATTCTCAACCAGGAAAGCGGAAACCGAGAATTTATATTCGAGGGTAGAGCTCGATATATATTCTGATAAATTATCAATTCCCTAAGAACTTTATTTCATCATTATATAATTGTACATGAGTTATGTGCACTTTGTATGTTGTTATCAAATTTATATCAATTTGAAACATTTATTCTTTTGACTAAAACATTATCACATAATTATTTCAAATATATTTTACATAACGTAGTTTAAAAATATATATTCCCAATTTTTATTTCCTACTTTCCAATATTCGACTCTTTACAAACATTACTTAGTATGAAAACAATCGTTGTGCAGAGTCATCAAGCCAATAAAGGGTTTGATAAATCTAAGTGTATTCCTCAGAGAGAGCAATCTGATTTTTCATCCTCCCTATGAATTCCAGTGATCCTTTTAATCGAGCGGTCAGAAGCGAGGCATAATCGCGATTGGCGCGAGCTGACAAATTCAGTCGAAATTGAGCAACTTCCGACCCAACCCCACGCTTTCCAAAGAAATATTACGGCCATATTTTTCTCCGGTGAACGATGACTGAAGCTCTCCCGCGATTTCCAAGGGATTAATAATGGCAGTAGACCGTTCTACGACAATCGTAGAGAGAAACAAACGCAGCCCCGGGCAAGTGGACCAGGCTCGCGCCGACATCAATCTGAACGAGCGAGCCGCGCCCCTAACGAGCCACCGAGTCATATAAATTTTATTGCCATTTCATAAATCCCGGCAAACACCGTGAGTAACCGTCCCGGTGCTGTCTGCGAGATTATCAGGAACGTATAAAGTTGCGGATCGTCGCGCGGTTACTGTCTTTCGCGACGCTTCCTGTGAAAACTCACATTAAAATGTTCGAATAATACGTTCAACGTTTAATGTTGATCGAAGATTATCCTTGTGATATAGAGAACACGGATTTTTCATAATTCCTTATCAAAAATATATCGTATTAGTTTGGAAATTTCCGTTTTGAATTAGAAAATATATAAAACTTATCGAATATTCTCATAATAGACAATAATGCAAGGCTTATTCATAAGGATTTGATTATTGTAGTCCGATGATATTGACAATGTTTTTATGTAAAATTTATAGAAAGAAGTTGAGTTTGATTATTTTTTTAATATAATGGAAAATTGAAGTAGAATAAATCGAAGAACGTGGAAATTTAATAAGAACGTAAGGAAAATAAGTAAGTATATAGTCAGACAAGGAAAGATTGAACAAACTTATCTGAATCTTAAAAATTCATTTCATCAAGAAAGAAGCTACGTGTTAAAACATCGTTTCATATTTGCAAAGAATGATCTTGGTTTTTATTATGCCACAAATTACTTGGCGTTCTGAGGATATGTCTGAACCATACGATGCCACGTATTTCAATTTTAAAACGTAGCGAATGTAGTAAATGGAAAGCGATGCGTAGGTAGGATTGGGAGAGTGGAAACGACAAGGTTATATTTATAATAAATAAGAGAGGAGTACATACGCAGGAGAAGAAGAGGGAGCACAGTTAATTCAGTTTTATACGACAACACTTCCGATCCACGGTAAGCCGGCGACAGTCTCTCCAGAGCTTCCCTCACGTTCTCTTCATCTTAACGCAAAGACGAACCAAAACCTGATTTACATTTCTTTCTCTCCTTGCTATAAAAATTCCGCGACGATAACTTCCTTTGTTCCACCCTCTATGGTCGAGGCTGGGATGAGCAACCCCTGCGGCTGGAAAGCCACGGGGGGTCCCTATAACACCGACTAGTTTTCGTTAGAACATTACATTTTTTTCCCCTTAATTAAAGGCGCTGAGAACTCCGGTCTTGTTAAAAAACTGTTCGTTACTTTGCGCGATTCAATATATTAAAATACTCAATCGCGTTAAGTTTAATTATACCAAGAATAATGGAATACAAGAGAATTTCTACTTTCTTTCTTTTCATGTTCAATTGTCTAAAGTTTAATTACATTAAAAATAATGATTAAGAGAAATGCTTTCTCTCCTTCCGCGCTTTATATTTTTAACCCATTATACGCTCAATTGGAAAGAATAGCTTCACCACTTCCATATAGCAAGTTCCATTCTGAGAATTTTGAACTCCATTTGACATATTCCACCGCGAGCAATTGCGTTACTGTGGAATCTACATAACGACGTTCGAAACTGTCGATCATCCATTCGGTTGGTGAAATTCCTTATTGAACGAGGAGTCAAACACGGAGGTAGAGAGAAAAAGGGAGACAGATAGGATCGAAATGTAATTAAGAGAGCAAATAATCCGAGCCGAACAAACTCCATGAAATGGATCAAAGAACTGGAAAGTGGGAGTGAGATGATGCAACGGGATAGGGAAAGGGAGAAAAAGGAAGGACATGTACCGATAGAGGCGCGTCGTACTGAAAGGTAGTAGGACGAGCTACGAGCAGGCTGCTTCTCCCTGTCGTCGTGCTGTCTAGCCAGAAGGAGTAGGGCAACGAGGGGCCTCGGCAAAGACCCTCGATAAATATTTCCGTCAAGTGACCGGGGTTGGAATTCAAAGAGAGCCGAAAGGTGGAATCGAGAGCGAAACGAGTCCATCCTCTCTTCAGCAGCCGGTTCAAGGGACGGTCGACGAGAGGAGAAACGATGGAAGGATGGGTGGGCGGAGGTGGCCTGGCAAGCCGGTATATTTGCGTTACGTTACGTAGTTGCGCGTTTAATCAGCCGTATAGCCGGAAAGGGCGCGTGTGACAGAGGGAAGAAGGAAAAGAGGAACCGGCTTGACTTCCGGATACCAAAGAACGACGGGGCTTAAACAGCCTCGTACCTTTTGTGCGGCCAAAGAGACTGGATTTTGTTTACTACTGGACTCTGCTCCATCGTCGTCTACCGATTTCGACGTGGATCATTGTATTCTTCCGTTTCGTTTTGCTCTGTATTTTATTTCGATTTCCTTCCTTGAATGAAAAGTGTGTGTGGGAGTGGAAATTTTACTTGAAGTAGTGTTCTTCTTCTTTCTGAAAATCATCTTCCATCTTTTGATGTACAATGTCTTTTTAAGATTTTAGATTTCTGTACGATGTACTCGTTAGTATGAGAAAGTATGAGAGAAAAGGAGGCGAAGGAAAGGAAGGAGATGGCGCCTACGAGATGTCGATGGCGTGACAGATTGCCTCCAGTATTTTCCACCACATATATCATCGGTATCCGCCAGCCCCTAGTTCTAGTTCAATGCTCACCGCCGCCGTCTCCTTTAATTGGCATCACCTACACCAATCTACCTGTGCCGTCGTTCAGAAAATTCCCGACCATAGTTAGTTACGATAGATTATATTTGGAGGCATATCGGTGGTAAATGATCGACTGGAAGTCTTACATAATACTTTTTATATCTCTACATATGTATCTTCATATCATATTATACATTTTCTCCTACTGGTGTTTCTTCTCAATAATTAATTACTATTGAATGATTTTACGATATAGAATTTCTAAATTAATTTTCATTTATTTATAATAATAATCCTATATCGTAATTACCTTAGTGGCAATGAGTTCGAATCAAGCTAAGCAAGCAATAATATATTGATAACAAACCAAAGGGTCAGTGACAAATTGCAAACCGCACTTTCATCGTCAGGGATACGATTAGGGAAAAATTCGTGCTGTTTTAATGGGGAGCGAAAATTAAATACCGCGGTGTCCACCCCTTAGGTCCGGCCACCTAATAATTCATAAGAGGAATGTAAAAAAGGCGAGCCCTTGTCGTCCTTCTCGCCTCCAACCACGCGGCAAAGAAGAGCGAGAACGAGAAAATCGAGAAGGGGGGTAGAAAAATACGACCTCGTGTTTATCTTGAGATTTGTAGCCGCTCTGTTCCCGATATTTATTGGCCTTCTAGGGACCGTAGATGCCACGGCCTGACGGACCGTTAAATTTTATTATGTTTTTTTCACCG